AGAGACGTACTTTCTCCCATTGAATACGGCCTTTGCTATTGGTATATGTATTTTCGGCTAAGTCTATGACAAGATAGCGCTTAATGGCCTGCGGATTTTGACTGGGCTTGATAAACAGTAAGCATGCAAACTATATGTAAGTACGTATTTATGAATACAGGGAACGACCAACGTTGTCACCAGGATCAGAATCAAATGAATCTAATTCCATTATATTTTCAAACTCTTCCTCAGGAACAATCCTATTCGCCTGGCTTTTCTGCGGGGTGACGGGCGGTTTAACAGCAGCCGTAGTCGTGGTATTCGTCGTCGCGGTATTTTTCGAAGTAGTGGGGGCAGATACGGGGTTATTCTTGGTGTATGTTGCTATAATCTCATCCATGCCGTCGTAATCATCATTATCGAAATCATCGGAGTCATCGCTCATATCCTTGGCGAGCTGTGAGAAGGTATCATAATTGGCATTGGTATCAGGTCGTAATGTGTTAGGGGTATTTTTGCATTTCTGCGTATTTAGAAAAGCCTCATTCGTTGAAGCAGCTGCGAGCTCAAAGAACTCTTGGTCTTGGTCGTCATAGCCATAGTCAGACGACAATGGATCCTTGTTTGGTGGTGGAATCGTATCTGGATGTCCTCTGCGCGTGGGAGCAGGCTTGGTTGGAGATTCAATGGTAAATCTCATGCGTTTGGATGGCTGCTCATCTGCTCTATCAGGCAAAGGTGAAGAGCTGGGCGGGGCTGGAGCAGGAGTATCCTCTTTTTTGGAACCGGACTTCTTCAACAGGGACTTCTGTATCCTGTCAACAAGCATATTGATTCTTGAATTGCCAAAAGGGCCTTGCTCGCCTTCTTCAGTGGTAAGAGGCCGCCGAATCCGCCTGTTTGAGCCTAACCAGTCCGCAGACCGTTTCCCTTTGGTGGCCGATTTGGGCCAGTCAATAGCACAGCTGTTTGTTCTACGTAAACTGGCTGCCTTTCTTGCGCTACTCTTGAGGCCTGGAGTACGTGGGGAAGGAGGTACATTGCACTCTGGCAGATCTACTTTGCCCACGTACCTGTTCCAGAGGTCTGCAGCGGCATCGTGTTGGGGTGTAGTCAACATCAACTTGTCCGAAGTAAGCGCAGTAGTAAAGGAGCCATCCCCGGGGATATAGGAGGGCGAACTGCTAGGTGACAAACTCCGGTTACGCCTCCTACTCGAGCTGTTTGGAGTTGATCGTGAAAAGGAGCCGCCGTGGTCCCAGAAGACATGGTCTCCGGGCGTGATCTCCTTCTCTGGCGCGTTTTTGAGGGCGTCTTCGGTGTTGCTTATCATGTCTGCAAGCGGTATTTTGTGAACTGGCGTCTCTGGACATGGTATCGGCCTGGTCTCCCCAAATCCTGGTTTTGGTACTGTCTTTTCCGTCTCCTCTGCCTCTTGAGTCGACTGTTCTGGTAAGTCGTCCTCCATCTCGGTCGTCCGCTTTGGAGCGTATCTGAAGGCGTCTAGCTTCGCTCTGGAGTTCGAGCAGACAAAGGGGTCATGCATCGTTGTGTCTTATACTGGCATCCTCTTCATCTCATCTTTGTGGTCTTTCTCGAGTCTTCTTCAACTCGTTCGTTGCGTTTCATACTAATGTTATTTATCGGGGTTTAAAGTGTTTTTCTCCTTTTTGACGCTGAAAACGCGACGCGACAGAAGCACGGTCACGTAGGCCTTAGTTATCGACCTGCATGAGACGAAGAAGCAAGGAGCAAAAGAAAGCAAGAAAAAAGATGATAAAAAGCAAAGAAGATGAAGGTGAACTTGATAGCAGACAGAGAGGGAAGATGGATGACCTGGATTGGAACATGTAGCAGTCATGTCGAAGGACTTTTTGACTATGTCCCTTATCCTCACCCTCCTATAACTACCTGGTAGACGCTGATATAGATCCGTATACGTACAACACCGAGTCTCCGTCTATTGCCATCTCCTCCATACATTTTCTGCTCTGCTCATCTTCCTTATTCTCATTTCTTTTTTTGGAGTTCATCACGATCTTCAAGCACATCTCTTCCTGTCCTTATTACGCCCTGCTATATAGAGTACGATCCCATGCTATACATATGCAGCTCGAGTCCATAGATCTAGTCACTCAACCACTATCAACACCAAAGCGCGGCCATGCAGTCCGAATCCCAACTATCTGTATATAACCCTGCCACTCCTCCCACCACTTCCTGCTACTTCATCTTTTCCCATCTCTCGTCTTATCGTCAATCTTCTATGCATCTTTTGCCAACTTCTTATTGTCCTTCTTTGTCTTTTTTGTTCGAACCTCTTAAAATGCCGCAAAAACCTTGCTGCTTAGTCAGCTTCGGCCTGCTCGCCGACTTTTGCGTTTCGGCTTTTTCGTTGCTCTCGTGATTTCAACTTTCGACTTCGACCTCGACTTCGACATCACCAACTTCCTCCTTCTTCTCAGCGCCCTCAGGATACTCTCAAGACACTCAGGACCGACAAGATGTCGCAGGATAAGGCCCCATTGCCGTTCGCCTACCAGTTCGCCGCTGGTGCGGTTGCCGGTGTCTCTGAGGTTGGTTATTCCCCTCTAAAGCCATTCTTTCGGTCTGCGGCTGGCTAACTCTCAATTACCTACAGATTCTCGTCATGTACGCCTATGCCGCTCTCTATACTGATGCCATGACAGGTCCCATACTGACAGTCGACTAGGTATCCGCTGGATGTTGTCAAGACCCGAGTGTAAGGCCTCTCCGCCATCTCCGGCCTCGGAAGCTAACGCCATAGCCATATGCTAACAATTACTCCAGCCAACTTCAGACCGGTGCTGCCAAAGGCGCAGAGGGATACAATGGCATGTTTGACTGCTTCAGCAAGATTGTCCGGAACGAGGGGTGCGTCCTTTACGCCCGCTGTCTGCCTTGTGCGCCAGGAATAGTTGAGCTAACGATAGCAGGTTCTCCCGCCTGTACCGCGGCATTAACGCCCCTATCCTGATGGAAGCACCCAAGCGAGCAACAAAGTTTGCAGCAAACGATAGCTGGGGTGCCTTCTATCGTAAGATCTTCGGTATGGAAAAGGCTAACCAGCCACTGGCTATTCTTACCGGAGCCACTGCTGGAGCCACAGAGTCCTTTGTCGTCGTCCCCTTTGAGCTCGTCAAGATCCGTCTGCAGGACAAGGAGTCCGCCGGCAAGTATAACGGTATGATTGATGTCGTTCGCAAGATCGTCAAGCACGAAGGCCCCCTGGCATTGTACAATGGTCTTGAGGCTACCCTTTGGCGCCATATCCTTTGGAACGCGGGGTACTTTGGCAGTATCTTCCAGATCAGGGCACAGCTGCCTGCAGTTGAAAAGGGAAACCAGAGCCAGCAGATGAGAAACGACATCATTGCCGGAACTGTTGGAGGAACCCTCGGAACAGTCATCAACACCCCCATGGACGTGGTTAAGTCGCGAATTCAAAACAGCCCCAAGATCGCCGGCTCCGTACCCAAGTATAACTGGGCGTGGCCTGCGTTGGGAACCGTGATGAGAGAGGAAGGTTTCGGAGCACTGTATAAGGGATTCCTGCCCAAGGTGCTTCGACTGGGTCCCGGAGGCGGTATCTTGCTCGTTGTGTTTACTGCCGTGACGGATTTCTTCCGCACCTTGAGAAAGGAGTGATGTGTTGGTTATTACTTTTGAAGAATTTATATACCGGCTCGGGATATAGATGACAGACGAGGCATTGGCCGCCAGGCGAGCATACTCCGGACTGAGACACATTATAATTATTTCTGGCTATTCAGGCATGCCGTTACTGGTATATATGCATGCGTCACCGCTAGAGCTCTCCGTCCAGTTGATGGACAGACAGACAGCTTCCTGATGATACCACTATTTTTCTTCCGTACCTTTGGCGCATAGACATTGGCATACTAGAGGAATAGATTTCATTACACATGTATATCTTTCCCTTTCTTATCTTTTCCGTTCAATCACAACAGTAAAAAATCAATAAGTACGGTTCATATCGTTATTAGGGGATAATATTAACTACATAAATACAAAACAAGGCTAATCGGAAAAGAAGAAGAAGCAATGAAAGAAAAACTGTACTACGAATGGAAGGTAGAGAAAAAGGGGGTCAAGTAAACGAAAAGAAGACATGTAAGGGTGGCATGACAGCATGGCTTAAGGAAATAGACAAAAAGAGACATGAACCAATCGGGACTGGGGAAAGGGGGTATGCATAAAATGTATATCAGAAAAGTCATCAATCAATCAATCAATCAGGCAACTAACGTCCGCCATGAAAAAGTAGGAAGTAAATAAAGATCAAGCAGTACGTAGCGCATGTACGCGGGACATCAACCAACCGCCTGAAATGGAGAAAACCAAAATAAGGAGATATGAGAAAAGGGGACCTGGGTACCCTGCTATATGTATAAGATAGATCTGATGGGGAAGGAAACAAGAACCCGGGAGTGAGATGGGAATTCAGGGCGAATGGAATGACAGACAAGGCGTCGTGGGATATCAAAATCAGTATTAATCAATCAATCAATCAATCGTGACTTCGTAGATGTATGTGTATGGTGTGATATACGGGGATATATGAAACGAGATAGCCAAAAGGAGCTGGCAGGGGCGTATAAGGAGAGGAAAGGTTGTGTTGGCAACTAGGGGTGTAATGCCATGCAATGCCATGCCATGCATGAGAAAGCTAACAAGAAGACAAGCACGCAGGTGAGCAGAAGCAGCAGCAAGAAAATAAGAAAAAATACGCAACAAGGAGAAAGCCCGAAATGTATAAACGAAATAACAGTGCAGCAGGAAGCTAAGCCTTCGCTCGATGCTGAGTCGCCCAACCTGACCCACTGACCAAATCATCTCTTTTCGAGCTGTAGAGACGAAGCAAGTAAACGCCACCGACCATATATGCAAAACGTGGACCTAACCCTTAGATGGATAGTTGAATTGGATAGCAAAAAGGGGAAAGACAAGATGGAAAAAGTAAGATATGGCTTCTTTCATATTTCCATTGCATATTCGTCTTCTTCCTTGACGCTTAGGCCGATGTGTCCTGAGCTATTCCAGAACTGAGAGCTGTTGAAACCGGGACTGTTGCCCGACGTTTGGGTCTGGGATTGGGTTTGCGGTTGAGTCTGCGGTTGTGATTGGTCTTGCGAGGGGCTGTTTGACTGAGGAAGCGATTCGCCTGAGATTGTTGTATGTTTCGGGACGCGGAGCCCGCTTCCGACTCCACGAGAATAAGAGAAGTTGACACCGTCGTTTGCCTCCATGGCATCGAAAACCTCTGTTCTCATCCGGCGATCTTCTTCGGTTTGCTCAAAGGGCCACTGACCACCAAGTGAGGCAATGTACTCCGCGAGCTGGTCCTCCTGTTCGAGCTTGCGATGTAGAGCCCACATGAGGTCACGAGTCCAGCCGACAGCACCGTTGAGGATGTCGCCCTTATTGGGGCCTTTCTCCTTCTCCTCGATGGGCAGGCCCATAGTGATGTTACCTGCGGTGGCGCGCCGGGCGGAGGGACCGGCGAGCAGGGATGTGGCAGGGTTGTGGTTTGGAGGGGAGGAAGCGTTGGCGCCTGAGGAAGTGGAGAGAGCGGAGTTGTTGACTAACTGCTTGCGGATCTTTTCATCTTCGAGACGGTGTTGAGGTACAAGATGAGAAAGATCCTGGATGCGTTCGTTGATGTTGTCTCTTCGTCGGCGCTCGACCATGTTATGTGAGGCACGACGCCGACGGCGCTTGGCTTCTTGGGACTCGAGTGACTGGGAGGAAGACGAGTGGTGGTGACCGTGGAGGGAGTCAACTTTGGCCGGCAGGGAAGCATGTTTAGCGGACTTGAGCATCTCGTGGATGTTGGCATGGTGGGAAGCGTGGTGTCCACCGGGTGAAGAGATCGGGGACTCCATAAGTGATTGAGCGCTACCGGGAGTGCCGTTCCACTGCCCAGACATGCTCTTCTGATGCTGAGATTGTAGACTAACGGCACGGATGGGCTGCGAGGAATAGCTGCCTGAGTCTGGAGTATTTATATTAAGCCCACCGATGCCGATGCCGGGAGTCTTGGGAGTGACGGGGCTTCTCGCGTCACCGTGAAAGGAGTTGCGGGCAGCCTTACCTGCGACAGAGTAGTTTTGGTCAAAGTGGACGTTCATGGCGTTCATGTGTGGCGAGGTCGCTTGTGGTGTATGCTGCACCTGGCGGAACTGGTCGTAGTTGAAGGAAGAGCGTAGGAAAGGTGACTGTATGGGAGCACCGTCGGGTGTGCTGGAGTAGATATGGGACATCTGGCCCTGGTGGCTCATGGAGATGGCGGTAGGCTGGCGCTGGTCAAGGCCATCGTCTCTTGAGAGGTTCTGACCGTTGATTTCGAGGTCGAGTAGCTCGTCGGTATCGATTCCAGCGTTGCCGAGTGTGAAACTAGAGGACAGATTTTGGGAGCCGAACGGATGGTGGTGGGAGACGAAGCCGTTTTGTTGCATGGTGAGCTCTGACGGATCGATTCCCTCGCTTCCGTTGGCTCCGGCTCCTGTGCCTGTGCCTGTGCCTGAGCCACCGAACTGGTTGCCGTAGGACGGCGTCGGGATCCCGTAGGCAGAAGGCGACATCATGAACTGATGGGGGTTGTTGGGCTCGTCAGGCTCGCTCTTGATCATCGTAGCAGAGATATCGCCCATTCCTTGTCTATCCCGCTGCAGGTGTGTCTCCAGCCTGTTCAGATAAGGTCCGTATCTCTCTCTATGTCTCTAGTCTGCGGTATCGCTGTATGTCTTCCTGGTGCGTCTGACGATCCAGGGAGGTTCATGAATCTAGTAGCGGTCAGCATCTGCACTCGCAAGCCTCACACCCTCTCTCCCGCTCTTTTTCTCTTACTCGCT